AAGACAAAAACGCTTTGTATGAGTTCTCAACGATACGAGAATCATTACAAAGTTCGTCGCACTAAGGCGTCTTTTCAAAAATATTTTCAAAACACACAAACACAAAGCATTTTCAAAAGTGAGCCAGCAACTAAGAGTCGTAGGTAACTACGGATGGAAAGGGTGGTAACACCTTCCCTTTCCATAATCTACCCCCCAAACTCAAAATCTTTAAAAGGTTTTCCTGTTCTTTTCACCCTTTTCTTTATTGGATAAAAGAAAAGTCGGTGGCGACTCTTGCTAACCGCAACATTTGCGATAAAATGTGAAACCAGTAAAGTCAGTTCTCCCACCGTATTACACAACATATTTGAAACAACCATCGGGACCGATTAAAACAAAAGGTGCCCCTAAAAAGGTAAAACTGACTCAAACTGACAACTCCGCGAGACGGGCTCCTTCGTATTTTGAGCAAGTTGACTCATATTTTTCAGATTCTCCGACTCCAAAATTCTAAAAATAGTGTTTTCAAGGGTGCGCGCATTAGCAAACCATATCCTCCATCGCCGTTACCAAAAACCAAATTAATTGATGAGATGCCACTTTTATGCACAAATACATCGAGGGAATTATAAATGTTAAAAGTGATGGAAATTATGATTTTCGAGTTGTTTCAGGTTTACTCAGTAAGGGGGAAAACGACCACCAACTTGTCCGCCTTCATCTTATACAAGAGATGACGACGCATGTGGAATCATACACAAATCTATATTATACGAAAACAAAGCAAATTACATTACAATTCTCAATGCTCTTGTTCCTTGTCTTAGTGGCTCGATTCTGTTTGACTAATGGATGCATTTTCTAAAAATAGAATATCTTATAGCAAGTGCTTATGATAGTGTGTATTGATTTAACACGATATAATTTCTCAGAAACATTATTTTCACTTGGAGTATGCCACCTCGTAATCCATTTGAACGCATCATATGTATTGGTTGATTATCAAAAAACAACTTTTTGATCAGATTTATTTGAAACTGGGATGTCTAGAGTGAACGACACATTTCACACAAGATGCTGAAACATAGTTGAATCACATTTTTGAAAAGATGGAAAATTTCACCAAGTTGGGCGACATTGAACGAGAAGCAAATAAGGAAAGGTCAAAGTAGGGATGACAGTGGGACGGGTCGGGGGCGGGTTTAAGCACACCTACACCCGCACCCGCCATCCAGACCCAGACCCGCCCCCGCCTCCAAACCCGATCGGGGCTAATATTTGTTCCCCCTGAACTCAAAATCTTTAAAAGATCTTTCATGTTATTTTCACCCTTTTCTTTATTGGATAAAAGAAAAGTCGGTGGCGACTCTTGCTAACCGCAACATTTGTGATAAAATGCGAAACTAGTAAAGTCAGTTCTTTCACCGTATTACACAACGTATTTGAAACCACCATCGAGACCGATTAAAACAAAAGGTGCCCCTAAAAAGGTAAAACTGACTCAAAGTGACAACTCCACGAGACGGGCTCCTTCGTATTTTGAGCAAGTTGACTCATATTTTTCAGATTTTCCGACTCCAAAGTTCCAAATATAGTGTTTTCAAGAGTGTGCGCATTAGCAAACCATATCCTCCATCGTCGTTACCAAAAACCAAATTAATTGATGAGATGCCACTTTTTATGCACAAATACATCGAGGGAATTATAAATGTTAAAAGTGATGGCAATTATGATTTTCGAGTTGTTTCAGGTTTACTCGGTAAGGGGGAAAACGACCACCAACTTATCCGCCTTCACCTTATACAAGAGCTGATGACGCATATGGAATCATACACAAATCTATACTATACGAAAACAAAGCAAATTACAATACAATTCTCAATGCTCTTGTTCCTTGTTTTAGTGGCCCGATTCCGTTTGACTAATGGATGCACTTTCTAAAAATAGGATATCTTATAGCAAGTGCTTATGATAGTGTATTGATTTAACACGATATAATTTCTCAGAAACATTATTTTCACTTGGAGTATGTCATCTCGTAATCCATCTGAACGCATCATATGTATTGGTTTATTATCAAAAAACAATTTATTGATCAGATTTATTTGAAACTGGAATGTCATATACCAAAGACATCACCAGAGTGAACGACACATTTCACACAAGATGCTGAAACATAGTTGAATCACTTTTTTGAAAAGATGGAAAATTTCACCAAGTTGGGCAACATTGAACGAGAAACAAATAAGGAAAGGTCAAAGTAGGAATGACAGTGGGACGGATCGGGGGCGAGTTTAAGCACACCTAGACCCGCACCCACCATCTAGACCCAGATCCGCCCCCGCCTCCAAACCCGATCGGGGCTAATATTTGTTCCCCCACCCCCTCTCCCAATAAGAAACGAGTTTCCTCACACCCGCCCTATACCTGTCCGAATAAAATATTAGTTTTTTAAAATTTATATTTTTTTCAATAAAAATAAAAATCAATAATTAAAATAAATAATTAATTATTTTAAAAGCATTTTTTATATTTGATATTTTTATTTAAATTGTATTTTCAAAAAAAAAATAATAATTCTAATAAATATGATATTATAATATTAAAAAAATTATAAATGAGTAATAAAACTATTGAAAATAAATTAAATAAATTAAATTGGATTGGAAGACCTATTTATAAAATTTGTTAACAAAGTGTAAATGACTATAATTTATTCCATCATCCCCATCTCCATCCCCATTTACACTTTTTTAACAAACCAGAATGAAAACCATAATGTAAATATGAAATAAATTAAATATTTGTTCCCGATCTTCCTTTTTATGCATTTTAATGACACAACATCTCCACTTCAATTTCGAATATGCGAGGACATATTTCTCGTCGATCTGAAAACTAAATTGATTTCTCTTCTACAATATCCAAAAAATTGAAATTGTCAAACTTGAGTATCATTCACCCACGATACACAACGAAGAGAAGCTACACTTCACATTGCTCAAACTGAAGATGGATGATAATTTAAAGGTGATGTGGAGTACCTTTTATCGTTACTCAATAAAGGGTTTGATTGATGTAGATGCGACGATTCGAAAATCAATCGACGATGTTATAAGAACGTTGCAACGTCCTGAACTATCTGTTTTTAATAATATGTAATGTTAAATTTATGTAATTTTAAATTTATGCAATGTTTATCTATATAATGTTTATTTTGGAATTAATCTAAATAATTTGAATTTTATTTTGCCATAGTTGTTTTTGTGTTACTCTACCTGACAAAATTCCAGAGATACATATTCTGATGACTCAATAACTAATGAACTAAAAGATATTTCAAAAATACATCTTCAAATCAATATTTTATTCATAAAGAGATATATCTCTAGATCAATATTTTACAAAATAAAGATCTCACACCATTTTCAATTCAGATTTGCGTGAAAAATATGCGTTCAAAGATACATCTCCAAATAGTGAGAACATTCTAGTCTTTTCGCAATGGTGTGAGAGAAGATATAAGGATGAAATGAGCATTTCTCTAAATATTACGCTTTTATTCCCAGTCCAAACTAAAAGTTCTTTGATTTACTTTGCTATTATTTGATAAGAATGTATATATTATTTTGAAAGGCAAAATAATTATTAAAAAAAAAAAAAAGTGAAGAATGTCAACAGCATGCATATAGATTACTAGAGTGTGCTATACGAGCATCACTTAGTCGAAAATCAGTGATGGTGTGCTGGTCCAATAAAAAAAGCTGATAACAATGTGCTAACAATACAAAGTCAATATTTAAGAGGAAAAAGCATAACAATGTAAAAAAAATATGGGCGTGAACCAATCAAATATAAAACTGCAAACTAAACCAAAATAAATAGAAATTATAAAAAATTGTACTTATTCGGATGCGTTTAAATTATCTTGTAACAAAATCGTACGGTTCAATTCGATTTGCTATTTGTATTTTGTAAACCGAATCAAACCACATTATATTACAACTTAAATTTTACTTAATTAACATCCATCTCAAACCTAAATCTATATAGGTTAGTCTTATGATCTCTTTTTCTTTAATCTTTACTCTCTTATATTCTCTTTTTCACCTTCTCAATTTTATGCAAATGCTCCCTCTTTTAATTTCATTTTTATTGCACATCTTTTTCTCTAAATCTCTCATCTCTTATGTTATTTCTTTTTCATCTTTTACTAATTTCTCATCTCTTCCATTTTTTTGTTTCATTTAAATATTTTTGATATCACTTTATATTATTAATTTATGTTTATTGTTTTACTTTTGTCGGTCTAATTTTTACATATTAAATAAGAAGTTATTATTGATATATATTGAATTTTTTTGTTATTTGATAGTATGTAAACGACTAAATACAAGGTTATGTTAATGTCTATATGTGTATTTATGATTTAATAAAATATTTATAAAAAATTAAACTAACCGAATTGAACCAAACTGCATCAGTTTGATTTGGTTTTCTTATAAAAGCCAATAAAACCAAAACAAACAGCAAATTTTTTTCTCTTACGGTACAAATGACTTTTAGCGTCAAAACTGCACAAACCGCACCACCAACGCCACTAAAAAAACAACATGCAGATTTGATCGGGTATTTTTGTCTCGTACTACCAAGCATTTTCCATATTACCAAATTGATTGATCCCATGAGAATTAACAACTAGCTTGGGTGAGTAATAGATCACATGACCATATAAAGAGAATCAAAACTACAAGAAAGATATTGTAACAACGAACCTGCAAGCATCCATTAAATAATTAAGCATAAGAGTCTCAGGTTCTTAAATAAATGACAACATACACCTGTTACTTATGCACTCTCGGCTATCGTAAGAAAGGTCCACCCAATCAGCAATTGAAATTGCATTAAGTTAAGGGGGTAGATTCAAGACTGATAAAATTATGTGCATGGCCTGTCCATGCAGCAGCGCCTGTTGAGAGTTGAACACGGTGAAGGGATATGGAGATACCCGTATAGTTTTATCTCACTTTCTTCTCTTTTGTAGCCTGAGGCTTTTGGTACAACACTATCTGACTTAAGATGGTAAAATTTGTAGCAACACCAATTGCATAGCCCAGTAGAACTTCAATAGAATTAAGGAAACAATCACAATTATACATAACAATCAGAATAAACAAACTACGGGAAAGACTTCTATTCAGAAACGTAAATGTCAAAAAGACTGAAATGTACCCATAATAACTAGTAAGTCAAGAGATGAAAGACATGATTTATATTTAAAAAAAAGGGTTTAATAACTAAACATCACCAGATGCTTGAGTGGACACCATCCCAAAAGTTTCTTTCAACATAATAGAAAGATAAAAACTGTTAGAATATGTTCAATTTCATTGACAAAATGATAGAAACATTATGATTATTGAAGTGGCTTTCAGAAGTGGTAACCAACTTAAAAAGGAAACTTCTGAAAAATAATAATTTTCGAAGCATATATTAGGACATACAGGCTACATCCCAGAACATTTGCACAAGTATATATAAGCATAAAAAAAATTGGGTTTCTATTTCATAAGGATTAAGAAAAAAATAGTCTATAGAGAGCTTGAGTTCTCAAGTGATCTACTATCTTAGTCATTAGATCCTCCAAGAGATTTGTATATGAATGTGAGTTGATTAAGATAATTATTAAGCATCTCTGAAGCAAATTAGTGAACAAGAGGTGATGTTTTCCATAGAGTGATCCTTAAGAAAAATGAGTGTCCTTTCTTGGAGAAGGAAATACACAAATTTCCTTGAATAGGGACCTATATTTTTAGGTATAGGGGCCCATAAATATGGCAATGGAACCGTTTATTCTATCTCCCTCCCAAAACAATTTAACTTTTCTAAAAAAAGAAATGATGATGACCATGGCAAATAAAAAAGAAATGATGAAAACAAATTAAGAAGAAAGGATACCACTTTTGGGGGCATTTTCTTGGATGGTGGTGAATACTCTAACTGCAGCAAATATAAACAAAAAATTTAGTATTCCAACAAATGCAAACTGCAGCCAAAGTTCTATTAAATATCTATTGTCTTACCCATTGAACCTCCGAAGTTCATAAAAGAAGTTAAAAAGCTGAGCTCCCCTGTACTTTTATTCTGCTCAAACCAGAGTTACCAGTGACAAATAAGAATGGTGAAAAAAAATTGCTGACATACACTTCATTAATTGAAACATTTTGGAAAAAAATCTAAAACAAACATTGAGGCATAATATGGAAATTCAGCATACCCACATCAACAGAGTTGACAGGATTCTAGCCTATCATTACAGGAGGAATAAAAGCTCCTAGTTTTCTTCAAAATGCAGATAGGATGGCAACCCAGCAACATAGAAACCATATTTGTCATGTACTAATGTTGTCAAACTCAAGAGTCTAAACAACTCATGAATTCTAAGTAAACTCAATCTGTTAATTTAGAAGTTCACTTAATACAAAAATAATGCTTAAAGCATCTATCCTAGTATCTAAACATAGTTTAACGATGTGTACTTAGTAGCAGTGTTTAAAAACTCCAGAGTTTACACGGAAACGGTAGAGGATTGAAAAATCGTAACTCGATCGTAGCACGGATCATAAGATTCTACTATTAATAAAATAAAATAAATATGTCGGATTATAATTTTATATAAAGAAAATAATTATTATTATTATATTTATGAGGAATTATATTTATAATAATAACTATGTCGGCAGAGTTTTTAAGGCATAGGAATAAGAATTATAGAGAATAATAGGCTACAAAAATAATAATAAGAATAATTATAAAAAGAATAATTAAAAGCTTTCTCTAAGGTTTGAGGCAGTCAAGTAACGTGGCAGGGAAAAGTAATTGGATCACACTTATTAGTTATTACATTCAGCCTTTCTCTCCTATCTTATATAACGGTTGACAAGTTAAGAAGAATAAAAATAAAATTGGCACGCAGGAATATGATGGGAATTGGAACAGTTTCTTCTTGAAAAGAAAAAGCGATGATACGCTTACAGCATCTCTACAAACTCCAATTTTGAAATTAAAATTTTTAATGCGACCCGACCCGGATCCAAATCCACTTTAAAATTAGGGTTTTTTAAAAAAACCCAAAAAAAGGGGCTGCCGCATATCATAGAACTGAACGTTTCTGCTCCAGTAACTCGTACGATTCCACCGGGTTTGGTCCATACGATTCCAACGGAGTTGCAGCACGGCATCATGTTACTGGAACGTAGAATCATCCGAGTTTACGTCCTAACTCGCGATACTGCATACACTTCTTAGTAGTTATCAACATTCTAATGAATATTCTAACCACAGGACCAGACCAATTCAAAAACGATGGACAAATTCACAAATCACGAGATTTTAACAATTCAGCACACAAAAAGTGTATTAAGTTCAAAATTGATGTACAAATTGACAAAGGTTCAAAATTACTAAGAGAAAAGAATGGTGGGACTGAATTCCTCTAGTTGGAGCTGGATTTAGCTCAGTAGAGCTAGATTTCAAACTTTCAGCTCATCAGGGTTGCATTCATTCACCATGTGGGACAGTTGGATTAAATGCAAACTTGCAAAGATGGGTTTGTTCGTGTTTTTCGCTTCACTTCGTTTATGATGGGTGGGAGTTATGGGATTGAGACTCAATACAACATTATTCACCTCCTTTGCAGATGCTTCACATTGATAATCTGTGGAGTTGAGTGCTAAAACTCACAATGGTGAGATTGAAGTTTTGTGAATTGGAGCCTTATCATTCAGCCGTTTCATTTTCGGTTTTTTTAAAACATGAAATTTAGGCATGTATAGGGAGAAATAACCATTATGTTGTAAACTTGAGTTGTAATTCTATGCAAATCTATGTGCGTCTATCAAAATTTACATAACAATCTTGTAAGCAAGTTAACATCCTTGAATTAGAAACTTGTGTGATTGTATTTGTTAACTTGACAGTTTGACAACCATCTATCTAACTAGTTTCAAGTAGATGATCATCAATTGTACAATAAAATGGCTTATTTACCAGTTTCTTAAAGGGAAAAGGTAGGCATACTGCCGAGACACGCAAGTATCATATATGCATGTTTAAACTCGAAAACAAATAAGTTTAAAAATTTCATGACAACTACGTATTTTCTTCAACACAATATAGCATGAATACAAAACAGCCCTTCGTGTTTCTACTTACAGAAAAGTTTTGCCATATTTGTGGGACCCTTGCACACAAAAATATTAAATGCTGGGATGCCTGCAAAAGATCAAATTCCCATCAGGAAATATTGACGATAGAGATCCTTATAGCCTACAAATTATAACATAAAGGCTAAAATGCTCGACATCATGAATTGATAGAGTAATACAGCATATACAATTGGAGAAAAATTTCAGCACCACAAGTAAATGCATGTTGAACATAAAGTTATAAAGTTATTACTTACATACAAGGCCTCAAAGAGGAGAGGATTAATTTTACCAGCTAAGACTGGGGGTGCTACAGCACAATATCTGAAAACCAATGTATCAAGGAAATGATCGAGAACATTTGATTATATTGCAAAATGTGAGAATGAAAAGTTAGTGTGTTTTCTTCTCAAAAAAAAAAAAACTTAGTGCTTTAGCAAGCAGGTAGGATACATCAATGGCCGAATCCATGTGATTGTACTAATAGGTCGAGAATAGTAGTAGATTATGGCAACCAATATGAAAGCTGTATCAGAAATGGAGAGGACGAATTAAGTTAGACTAAATCACGAAAAAGGAAGAGCAAGATATATCTAACAAAAGATATAGCTGTATAAGTTGCATCATCAACAGCCTATGTTACACAAGCAAGCAAGAATATCAGCAATTCAGCATGTAAAATTAGCCAAAATCATGAACAGAATACAGCAGGACAAAGTAGTACTATAAGACTCAACCAAGTAAGAATAGAGAGAATGTTTGAAAAAGAAATATTCAAACACACTCAATCAACGTGCCTGTTCTTGCTGGGTAACAAACTATGAAAGAAAACAACGATCTCATATGAAGGTTGAGGTGTAACTTTGGTTTATCTTTTATAGAAGCCAAGACCTTTCAAATAACATGGCCATCCAGCCTACACCTCTAAGAAATTCCCAATCACAATTATTAAATTTTACTACAATTGTCCGCAAAAAGGCTGTTTAGATTGAGGCCTTTGTTTCCCTTAAGAGTTTACTTGGTATTCCTCTACCTTTGTTTGTTGGACTACTATTGTCCTTGTCCACATGATCGACTATCCTTACTGGGATCTCTATTGGAGTATTGGTCTTTTCTCACATGACTACCGAACCATCTTATCTTAGTGACAGATTTTAATTTGTTTTTTACTAGTACTACAAACCCCATTTTTCTCTGATACATTCATTCCATTCTTATCTTTTCTAGAATGTCTACTTGTCCACCCGGACACTTGGCTCGTGCATTTATTGGCACTTTATTGCCCAATAAGTCACACATTCCAATAAAACACCTGAAATTTGCCATTTTTGGGGTTTTTCTTATCATATTTGTTTATTCTATTCCTTTTTCAACCAACATTTTGTTACGCCTCATTCTGATTCAACCCTCGCCACAATACCGTTCAAAAGTACATGATATAACATAATGATAAAGAACATATACTGATACTGACCAAGGAATACGCAAAAACAAAATTGCAAAACTAAGTGCACCTTGGATCAAAAGAAACAACAATTCTCCATAAGCTGAAAAAGGAAGGCCTTTGTGAAGAGAGTAAGCCAGTGCTATAGTATACCCAACAACTTCAAGCTCGAATGCTAACATGCTAAGACCTCTCACACTTTTATGCTTCAAAATTTTCAAAATCTGAGTTTCACAATATCAACAAAATCAGGAAATCTAGTTCGATTTCAAAGTGCAAACAAATCAAGCGCATGTTCAGATTCATTTTAGCAAAAGTAAGTAATCTAGAAGTACAAAAATTGATTTGCCATATTGAAGTGTTGTCGAGTAGAATTGTTATTGCCTTCAGAACTGATAATAACCTAAAGCCGAGAGTTCGAGTTTGAGCCTCCAACTATAAGTTTTAGCCTCAAATTTATTATTCAGTTCAATTCTGTATGAGTCGATTCAAACATATTATCATTCCATCTTTTAACCAAAATCAAATTTAACAAAATCAATTCATTCAAAATCAATTTTCACCACATAAGAACCAAACTCACACCAAACAAGCTTTAAACCAACATTCATTAAACAAAAGACGCCCTAGTTAACATCAAACAAAGATATCATGTGAGCTAATGAATACAGTATATAAAACTATAAAGCACGGACACCGAAACACCACACCGACACGTCAACACCGATAATAATTTTATAAAATAAATAAATTAAACTTAATTACAAACGTCCGTGTGAGTTTCTGACACAGACACAGACACACCTTCGAGAGGTGTCAGTGCTACAAATATAGTAAAACTTAAGAATTAACAGTAAGAAAGAGTCAAAACAATTTGAGTACAAGTGCATCACAAACTACGAAACTATTAAAACCTAATCGATTAATTACTTATAACTAAACCGTTAATTGATATGAGAGAAAACATTAACGATAAATTGAGAGAAGAGAATACAAAGGAGTAGTGCCTGAGGGAGTTTGACGGTGGTGGAAGCTGCGACGATGGCGTAACCGAGGAGTTTGGAAATTAGAGGAAGCAAGCAATCTTTGTCAGGGAAGTTTCCCTTACGAAGAGATCCAAGCGCACAACTCAAATCAATCCCTAGATATTCCATCGTCTTCTCCGATCTCAATCTAGGGTTTCTTTCGAGGCTAAAATCGGTTCTCTGGTTTGTTGTTGTTGTTGCCGTCAATGTTAACTCGAACTGGACTTTCTGAATTTTCTGGTTGGGTTTGGTTACCACGATAAAGTGTCCCTGAAGAAAATTCAATTCGTTTACTGTACTTTATTTTGTTTACGAGTTATTATTATTTTTCTATGTAATATTGCCGAATTTTGATTTATTTCTTTTTAAAAAAATATTTTTGATATGTTTTTTAAATGTAAATATTATATTTTTGTAATTTTTTTTTTATTTCCTTCATTTTTATACGTTTAAAAGATATTTAAAAAATTATAAAAGATAATTAAAAAAAATTTAAGGAATAAATCAAAACTCATATATATATATATATATATTATCAGACTAAATGATTATTAACTTTTTATTTATTATTTTCATTTCTTTAATTTCTTTCCAAAAAGAATTACAAAATTCTTTGCTTGATTTTTAAAAAATATATGTAATATGGCGAAAACAATAATGAAATTTGTTATTGATTATAATATTTTTGGATGGGTTTCATCTTGATTCATATTACACAGTGTGATATCTCATTTATAAAAATAATTATATTAATAATAATTTTTTTTCATTTATAAAAATATTTGTATTAACGATACCTTTTTCATTTATAAAATATTTGTATCAACACTAGACTTTTTTCGTGTTTATAAAAATTGTGTATCAACGATAAACTTTTTCGCCCTTATATAAATATTTATATCAACAATATATTTTTCTGTTTATAAATAATTTGTATCAACATTACATATTTTTCTATTCATAACAATATTTATAACAAACAAATTGAAATTCTGGTATCAGATGTGTGATATCGAAGGAGATGTCACGACACAAATATCTGAGGACAAAGTAAAGTGCAACAATATTAAAAGCAATAAAAACACAAGGGATTGTTAACTCAGTTCAGTATACAACAACATCTATTCTGGGGGCTACCAAGTCAGGGACAAGTCCACTAAATAGTATTAATTCATAGACCCTCGGCAAACAACCAGTTTACGATCTAATAACTTAATCACTACCCGTGCTATACTTCTACCTAAGACACTCCTAGGTATGAGGCCCTCCTCAAATCCCTTCAATCACTTACAGTGAAGAAACAACATAGTTAATAAGTTTTAAAGATTTCAATCATTCACTGCTTAAAAGCTTATGAATGATACACAATTAACAACTCAAATAACAACACAAGTATTAAATCAATAATAGAGTGTTTGACAATTAAAAGACTTAGACTTCTAAAACAGAAAGAAAGTATTCTTCTTCAAAAGTTGTTGTTGAATGAATAAGGAAGCAGGTCCTTATATATGCGCAACAGTGGGCTTGGGCTGAAACTCAAATATTTCAATCTTTTTAATATTTCCATGAAAACAAGCCAAGATATATAAAGATAATTCAAATAGAAAAATATTCATCCATATTTTTCGCAGCCTATGAATCACAAATCCTGAATTATGGCTCGCATGAAAACAGGAAACAGAAAAATTAAACTGATATTGGGCTGAGTTCAGTTCAGGAGGCAGATGTCAAGACATCTGCTTTGACATCATTCAAAACAGTTTGCTTCAAATGTTAAGACATTTAACAAAACATTATCAGGTCATTGTTTTACCAAAATTGCTGCCAACAAACACTTACAAACTCCCCCCTTTGACAAATTTTGGCTAAAACATTATTTGAGCATTATCAGAACATTATCAGAGCAGCAGCATGAGCAAAGCAAGCAAAACAAAAAAGATTCAGTTAACAGTTAGTTGTTAGCATAGGAAGATGTCAAAACATCTTCTGAGACATGAGGCTCCCCATTAAGTATTAAGCCCCCCTTAATCAGTGGCCAGTCAATCAGTTTCTCTCCCTCTTTTTAGTCATAATATGCCAAATAACAGGATACATTCAGGAGAGTATCGGTAATATAGGTACAGACCATAAAATTCAAAAGTCAAGCACATGCAAGTTCCAAAAAGAAACAAAGGGGTCATATAAATAAACATCAAATAGTCTAACTGTCTTCAGGACCAGTAGACTTTGCTGAGCCGAAACTTCCTTCCTCACTAGAATCTCCTCCTTCAGAGCTCATAATCGTCAAAGTTATTATCCTTTTGCAGCTTCTTGATCATCTTTTTAAAAGTTATCTTCCTTGTTGAACTAACTCTGATTACATCATCTAGTTCTTTGCATGTTTCCCTTAATTCAGTGATCATGTCATCCTTGGTGGAGATCTTATTTTTAGCAGATGCAGATGTCAAAACAATGTTTGGGACATGTTTTCTTGAAAAAAGCTTGAAGTGAAGGGTCAAAGAAGATTCCCTCTTGCACATTGCATCATTACCACTTAGAATTCCAGGATGCTGATTAAGAATAATTCCACAGATGAGGGAAGGAAAGGCAATGGGCATCTTAATGGCACAAGTTCATGCATGCTTAATAGTCTGATCAAAGATGTAAGAACCATAATTAAATAGTTTCTTGTTTCCAACAGCATAAATAAATTTTCCTAAGCCAATAGTGATGGTTGAAGTATGATTAGTAGGAACCCAATTAGCAGCTTCAATTCTATGCAAAATAGCATATTTCACACTTAGCTTGCTAACAAGAAGTTTGTTCTTCATGGGCCACTCACTCACTTGATTAGCAGTGATGACTCTGCACACTTGATTATCTGTTACTTCCAGCTCAGAAAAGTCATTTTCAGACCTATCCAAAAATCTACTTATGATAGCAGGGGAAAATTCTACACACCTACCCCTAACATACACCTTTCTATACTCCTTACTTTTATGATCAACACAATCAACAGGAATATTAACAATAAATTTCTTAACAAGAGTCTCATAGAATTTGGCAAACCCGGTAACAGTTTTCATCAATCCAATATAAGATATCAGCTTCATGATTTCTTTGCATTCTAGAGTACCAACTCCCAATTCTCTTTCAAGGGTAATTCTTCTTTGAAAAACATACTTCCATTTTTCAGCATTCCCAACAGAATAGAAGGAAATGTTGTCAAGGGGAGCATCAAGAACCCTAACTGAAATCTTCTTGCTTGCATACTTTCTGATAGGAGAGATGTCTTGGACATCTTGCTCGACATCATAGTCAGAGTCAGCTTCTTCAACTAACACAACTTTCTTTTTACTTTTAGATCTTTTTACAGGATCATCATCATCACTAGTGGAGCTATCAGGTCTAGCTTTTTATTTTACTATAGGGAGGAACCACTTTACTTCCGGGATTTAAGAGACCATACATAATTTATTTCTTGGCAGTCTTGGCATGGGGTGTGACACTTACATCCTTCACTTTCCTGGTTTTGAGCCTTTTTGCAATTCCAGGCACCACATTAGTAATGAGCTCATTGTCAGACAGCTCATCTACATTAACCACATTCTCAGCATTTTCACCTTCTGCAACCTTGGAGCCAGCATCACATTCCTTAGTTGGAGAGTTCTCCTCAACATCTTGTTCAACATCCTCTTTCACTTCCTTTAGAGCGGAAGCATCAAGCTTATCAAGTGGTCATATAGTCTAACTTGATGAGCTGTCTGACAAAGAAACAAAGGGGTCATATAAATAAACATCAAATAGTCTAATTGTCTTCAGGACCAGTAGACTCTGCTGAGGCGGAACTTCCTTCCTCACAAGAATCTCCTCCTTCAGAGCTCATTATCGTCAAAGTTGTTTTCCTTTTGCAGCTCCTTGATCATCTTTTTAAAAGTTAGCTTCCTTGCTGAACTAACTCTGATTACATCATCTAGTTCTTTGCTTGTTTCCCTTAATTCAGTGATAATGTCATCCTTGATGGACATCTTGTTTTCAGCACATGCAGATGTCAAAACAATGTTTGGGACATGTTTTCTTGAAAAAAGATTGAAGTGAAGGGTCAAAGAAGACTCCCTCTTGCACATTGCATCATTACCACTTAGAATTCCAGGATGCTGATTAAGAATAATTCCACAGATGAGGGAAGGAAAGGCAATGGGCATCTTAATGGCACAAGTTCATGCATGCTTAATAGTCTGATCAAAGATGTAAGAACCATAATTAAACAGTTTCTTGTTTCCAACAGCATAAATAAACTTTCCTAAGCCAATAGTGATGGTTGAAGTATGATTAGTAGGAACCCAATTAGCAGCTTCAATTCTATGCAAAATAGCAGATTTCACACTTAACTTGCTAACAGGAAGTTTGTTCTTCATGGGCCACTCACTCACTTGATTAGCAGTGATGGCTCTACACACTTGATTATCTGTTACTTCCAGCTCAGAAAAGTTATCTTCAGACCTATCCAAAAATCTACTTATGATAGCAGGGGAAAATTCTACACACCTACCCCTAACATACACCTTTCTATACTCCTTACTTTTATGATCAACACAGTAAACAGGAATATTAACAATAAATTCCTTAACAAGAGTCTCATAGCATTTGGCAAACCTGGTAACAGTTTTCATCAATCCAATATAAGATATCAGCTCCATGATTTTTTTGCATTCCAGAGCACCAACTCCCAATTCTCTTTCAAGGGTAATTCTTCTTTGAAAAACATACTTCCACTTTTCAGCATTCCCAACAGAATAGAAGGAAATGTTGTCAAGGGGAGCATCAAGAACCCTAACTGAAATCTTTTTTGCTTGCAGACTTTCTGATAGGAGATATGTCTTGGACATCTTGCTCGACATCATAGTTAGAGTCAACTTCTTCAACTAACACAGCTTTCTTTTTACTTTTAGATCTTTTTACAAGATCATCATCATCACCAGTGGAGCTATCAGGTCTAGCTTTTTCTTTTACTATAGGGAGGAACCACTTTACTTCCGGGATTTAAGAGACCATACATGATTTATTTCTTGGCAGTCTTGGCATGAGGTGTGACACTTACATCCTTCACTTTCCTGGATTTGAGCCTTTTTGCAATTCCAGGCACCACA